ATTCTGTTTTCTGTTCTTTATTGTCTAAAGTACCCTTTCAGCAAAAATAGGGGGAAAGATGCCAGTATTTTCCCACTGCTCTTCATTTGCATATTTATGTACATTTTGCATAACTTTAAGGGGTAAATGTTAGTCTTCTTACTAAATTATACTTATACACTAATTTTCATTTTCATTCATCATTACATTTCATGCTGTTTCAGGCTTTTGCTTTTTGTGATCCTTGCTTAACTTGTGATGAGTATATATATATATATATATATTATATGTATATACACACATTATTAATATTATACGAAATAAAATAATAATAATATAATATATTGTATTTACACTCATTGACAAAAAATGCATACCAAGAGATGTTGGAATTAAACGAAATGTTATATTAGTGCAAGCATAATGACAATGTTAATAAGTGATTACATTATAATATGCAAATGAACAATTTTCTGTGGAACAACAGTACACTTTAAAGTAACGTTCAATACCTTGAAAGACTTCCTTGCCTGAATACAAGTAGCAATATAGTCAGGCTTGGAGGCATACAGGTACAGGCATGATTTTCAGATTTGCCTACAGCTGAAACACTTTTGGGCAAATCATAATATTTAATTACTTGCATTATTTATTTTCCATTTTGATTTAGTTATTTTAAGTTTTGGGGGTTGAATTATGATAAACCTCAACAGCTATCTCAACACTCATTTGCATAATTTCATAATGATTTGCATAATGAATGGCACTGTATCCCATTACAATAAAGGATTAAAATATTAAATAATATTGTACTATATATTTTGTAATCAGATTGTATTAGAAATACTAGTTTTGAAATATTTTATTTGTTATAAGTTGAATATGTAAATTAACAGTGAGTGTATAAAAGACTATTGTCAAACTGGTGTAGCAAGCTAGACTACCTGCTTTGCTCTTTTTACTCTTGCTAGTTAGTGTATAGCTGTGGAATTGTAAGCTATTGATAATTGTAAGTGAATGATTGAATTGATGCCAATTAAGGTTTTTTCTTCTTCTAGTTCTTTTCCCTAATCAGGTTAATTGTTTGAGATTTTGAATAATTGTAATTTTGTAAATAGTACTAATAAGTATATATTATTGTTGTAAATGTTGAATTTGAGCTTTTTACTAACTGTTGTTGTTGAAATTATAGTTTTTGTTTTGACATAATGACAATGGTAATAATTGATTACAGTATTGTAACAAATGGATAACTTTCTGTGTAATATACCATGCAATCAAAATTAAGTCTGAATAAAAGCAGTGTTAAACAAAATTAGGGTTCGATCAAGTACCAAGATCAAGGTCTGGACTTGGGTCATGGTGAGTATACTTTCCATGACTTAATGGAAAAAGAAAGAAAACATCAAAAATGACACATATGTAAGCACAAATCAATGATAATTTTTGTTANTTATTCATTCCATCATTCATTCATTAGTTTAATTGTACATTTAAAACAAGGTACAAAGTCCTGCCCCGCAGTGAGCATTACAGGAACATATCCGTTACATAGTTCCACCGAGTTACAGTATGCACTAATGAACAAAGCAAAGTGAAAAGAAAAAAAAAAAAATAAATAAATAAATAAAAATAAAAACACAATGACAATAAAAGACCCGAACAAAATATGAAGCAGCTTGCTGCAGCATATAACAGATTACTTATTTGCAGGAATATTTTCGCAAATGAATGTCGCAGTAAATACAATAATTCTGACAAAGTGTTTAACAGAATTTATCCCGTGCAGAAAATTTGTAAGACAAAGATTTGAGAATTCCATGAGTCCATATATAATATGTGTACAAGTAAAAAAAAAAACAAAAAAAAAACCAAAGTCCACACAGCTAGTAATTGTAAGTATCAATTCCAACACTTTAAACCCAAAAACAGAGAAAGATGATGAAGCTTACATATTTCTTACAGTCAGCAAACACAAATGTATATAGAGAAGTGATGATCTGCTTGTATTAGTTGTTGTGCTAAGGAGCAGAGGTAGCACTATGAATTAAACAATTTGTGTCCTGTAAAGGATTCCATAATTATTAAGGTAAGTAGTCAGCTGTCTTAATATATAAGGCTTTTGCTTTAATGTAGAGTGGACACTCCTTATCCAGTGTGTTATGTTCATGTTTATCTAGNTTTTTTTTTTTTTTTTTTTTGACATTTTGGATGCTCAGATCTAGTAAATAGTTTTGCATTTTCTTGTTCCGCAATTTAGGTTATCTAGAATAGCCTATATCCAGTTAATAATTCCAGCAATGATTATTATTATTTTGAAAAAAATGTGATTACAATTTTATGATGTTTTAAAGTTTATTATAAAATAAAAAAATATTAATGTTGAAATATATATATACAAAAAATAAAAAATAAAGAAAAGTAATGGTTTATAAAATGATGAGAAAACATCTATTTTGCTATTTAATCAAGACATTTCAGAAAAAGCTTTTATAATTTATTAATTTGCAAATCAATAATTGTATTTTAAAAGCTTTTACTTAGGATGAGTGAATGTTTCATTTTAATTTGAGCTGATCTGAAATTTCACCTATTAAATAATGTCAAAAAGAGTTTTGAAATGAAAATGGATTTTTGTTTCTTTTTATAGTTCTGTTTTGATGTAAAAATTGAAACTAATTTGTCCATACTGGAAGCACATAAGTGACATAACCATGTAACAAGTGACTGAACTGATCAGAAACAAAGTAAACAATGTTTCAATTTCACTTTTGCTTGCATTTCTTTTACTGCAGTTTTACTTACACACTGTTTCCTTGTATTTTGGCAGTTTTCCTAATTATAATTACAGGTTTAGGAGAACAAATAAAAACTTAACATTTGGCTAATAAAATGACTAAAAAAAGGTGGTGGCTATTGCAAAAGCAAAGGCTTTAGAGCAGGGGTGTCCAACCTTTTTGTTTCTCTGGGCCGCATTGGAAGAAGTCAAGGAGTTTTGGGCCACAAGTACATATAATATATATTTGTGTCTCAATATACAAGTATATTTAAGGATTAATATGTCTAGATTATAATAATAAGTATTAAAACTTTATCAAGAAAAAGGATATTTTAAAAATTACTTCTACAGACACTTTCAATTTTTACTTAGTAATAGATAAATTCATTTATTATAAAAGAGACAAACGGAAATTTATTTGAAAAACACAAATATTTGTTATATTTGGGTCTCTAATTAATAAAAAGTGACGAAACACTATTTTAAAGTGCATTTTTATTCAACTAATATAATTATAAATAATATGTAGCCCAAAAAGTAGCCAAAGCGCCAAATGATATTTTNGAAAATCGAATGTTTAAAACCTTTTTAAACTCCTCCATCGTGTACTTCTGTGAAAAAATATTCTGTTCAAGCAGGTATTCTAGTAGGTCCTCTTTGGTAACTGAGTTCGGGACTGAAGTCACTTTCATAAGAGGAAGACGCCGTCTTGCGTTTCGTGCCTTTAATCCTTCTATTTTGTCTAATTGTTCCTGAAAGTATTCAGCCTCCTCTCTGATAGGAAAATCAACAGCAATTCCACCCTTGTTAATCTTACGAATACACGCGACAGGCACCTTATGCAATCTTTGATCAAAAGAATTAGTGAGCAGTGTCTTAGTCTTTTCCGATGTGCTCTCTTTATTATCATTGTAAACTAGAACAGTGTATCTTGGTAATGAGGACTCCTTTTCAGACTGTGTATTCTTCAAAGAATTAAGATTGCGTTGTAAAATATCTCTATATGACAGAGCAGTAGTCCCTTGAGAACCTTCCACCCCTAAAAGTGGAGGTTTTTCTAAGTCACAAATAGTCTGTTTCACTTCCTGAATAACTTCTAAATTTTTGTCACTCTGAGCAACAAGCAGCTGTTTGACATCCTCTTTCGTTGCCAACAAATCAAATTTCTGAAGCAGGAAATCTGATATGGAATTTTTCCTAATTACCTCTTTGGCGCTCTTCACTAAGGTAATAAATTTATCTGTAATAAATCTAATATGTTCCTCGGTACCCAATCGCCCTTTTGGGTTATTACGGAAATATCTCTTTAAATCCTTAATGGCTTCCTCAGATTCCTCCAGAAATTCTTCAATAGCCATCACTGAGTATAACTTCTAAAATTAATAATTTCCAAAAAAAAAAAATAAAATAATATGAAGAAAGAACATACGACTTCTGGTAAAAATTCTGGAATCTTCTCTGGACTGTTACTATGGCGACAGTCGTCGTAGAAGAATGTTGAAAATTTTAAAAGTATTCAGTTTTCAAAAACTAATAACTTCGCGAAAAATTGTCGTACGTTGAAAAACTTAACAGATTCTTAATCCACACGGAAAATGCTATCCAGAAATATATAACACTTAGAGCTTAAAGTAAAAATTCCAGCAAAAACTCAATTCAAATACAGAGCAAAATTTTCCTGCATCCATTGACTAAGCCATTTAGCGCCCTCTCTCCGTAGGCTTCCACCGGCTAAACCAGGTGAGGTTGGTGCTCTGTAAAGTGCATGTGCAAATCTGGCTTTTTGGAATATGACAATACATAGATTCCACTCCGCCACTAATATTCGAATATATAATAGCAATCTTATTATTATTTTTTTTCACGTGTAGTATAGAAATTTGTAATAAGATACATGATGCGGTTATAATAAAATAATGTGCGATTATTTTCATATAATTAAAATTAGTATGTACTGTATTTATTTTTTATAAAATGCAAGGAAAGCAGCACTTCCACCGCTTCTAATGATGGCACACCACTGGTATAAACAGTTTGCATTAGAAAGGGCATTTACTAATAAATTAATAATCAATTTAGACAAAAGAAAAGCTTGAAAATTATCCTATAATTAATTTGGATAGTTTAATAGTTTGGATTGATTAGTTCAAAAGTATTCTTTTTAATTAAAATACTTTCCTTATTAGTAAACTTTTTTTTAATTATAAAATTTTAATTAATAAAACATTTTCTTATTTAACAGAAATGTTTAGAAATTCTGCGAAAGGAATTCCATGAATTGAGAGCTGTTACTGGTGATCAGTTAATGTATGTGAAAGAAGATCTAATTATACCTCATCACTACACATTTTATGATTTTATTGTGACAAAAGCAAGAGGTAAAAGTGGACCCCTATTTAGTTTTGATGTTCATGATGACATTCGTTTGGTGGGAGATGCCACTGTTGAGAAGGATGAGTCTCATGCTGGAAAAGTTCTTTTACGAAGTTGGTATGAACGCAATAAGCATATATTTCCTGCTTCTAGATGGGAACCTTATGATCCCACAAGAAATTATGAAAAATATACCATATCTGATCGCAAAAAGATATGAGAAAAAGTATATTTAATATACTTCATACAGGTATTTGTAAATAATTTTGTTCATATGTTCAAATTGTGTTTTAAAATTACTTTATTATAATTTAAAACTTAGCTTAATGCATACATTATATAAAATACATATTATTATGTATATAAGTAAATGCTTCTCATCAATATTGAAGAATCGTTATATTAATTTTGAAGTAGTCCACTCTTTTAATTTTAATAAATACAACACTAATATTTGTTAGTGTTGTATAAAATTATTGTTAACTTGTGTATTAAAATTTTCTTCTATTAATGAAAAATTCAAAATTTTAATTTCAATTTATGTAAAAACTGTCATTGGTATTTTGAATGTATTAATTTGGAATTTACATAAATAAAAATTAAATATTAAAAAAATATTATTGTGTCATACAATTAAATTCAAATTTCTAGATAAATGTGGAAGAGTCTTAATTCTACAGTAATTTTTTTTTCCATCAGTATTCACAATTTCCATTTTCATTTCTGATCTTTGAATCTGATCAATCGTATAATCTACCAATTCATATGAAATCATTGTTTCTAGAGATAGTATGCATAAAACAGCATTTTGTTTCATGCATATTCTGCATAATGAGCTAACAAATTAAGCATTCTTTTAATTGTACATCAAATGTATTATATGTGTAATTTTACAAAATAATATATATACACAGGGTTTCCAAAATGAATGCTAGAGTAATGAATTAGAAGTAACTGTCTAAGTTTCATCTTCCTTCTGCATTGAAATGTCTTGTCTACTACCTCTAGGAAGTGCCGTAAACAAAAATGGCAGCCCTGCAATTGAATTATTTTGTGTTCTGCAGTCTGCACTTTGCAAAGTCTGAATCACCCATCATTGTGCAACTTGAGTAATCTGCAGCAGTTGTAGAATTGCAGCTTCTGTGAGAAGAATGACAATGGATATGCTGTAATAAGCATAGGAAGAATTTGAGTATTGGTTGGATGTGTGCCATGTGATACAAGTTCCACACGTTGAGAAATTGTAATGGGCAAATGTGAAACTTGGATGACAGTTTTCCAATGTTTTAATATACAGTCGACACAAAAGTAAATTGCTACCTTACACTGATTGGCATGAAGATGTCACAGAATCAAATTTGATGTAATGCATAATCCAGACTAGATAGCTTGGCCATAGATTACAAGAAGATAATTAAATCTGTTCAGTACATCCAAATTTTTTCTAATGTTAAATTCTAACCATTCACAGCTGAATGATAACTGGCCAATCAATCAAATTTCACGAAAAATGGATCAAAATTTTAAACTTGGAATCATCAAAAACATTAAAAACATTTTGCACTTGCTGATAACTTTATGTTAGTGGCATTCATATAGAAAAATTACTTATCTCGCTGATTAGATAGAAAGAGGGGCTTGTTGATGGCATGGGATTGAAGTTAATTCAACCAAAAGTAGTCTGACCTTTTGGATGAGAGGGTGGTTCCTGAAAAGTTTCATTGCATTTGCTCAAACCATTTCAAAATGTAGGCTCATAAAGAACAAACAAACAACTTTCTTCTTTTTAATCAAAAAAGACACAATCTGTCCAAAAATATTTTTTGAAGCCACCATTTATTCTATTCACGTGTTCCAGAACTTCTTCAGCGACTGGATCTTTCTTTAGAGGCTACTTCTTTATTGTTTTAATTGGATATTTTTTGTGTGTTTTTTTAAGGAATATTTTAACCTGATGGCCTAGTAGCCTCTAAAGAAAGGTCCGGTCGTTGAAAGTGTTCTGGAACACGTGAATAGAATAAATGATGGCTTCAAAAAATATTTTTGGACAGACTGTCTTTTTTGATTAAATTATCATCCAGCGAAATTCTACAAACTTTCTTCCTTATATACTGAGATGCAAACAAAAACATTTGAGTTGTTAAAAAACTGCATCAAGTAAAAAATTATGACAATTTAGATGACAGTCAAATTTTTTCTTGGGAATGTTTCTTTGGTAAAGATAAGCTGGGTATTTCAAAGCAGTACCCATGATTTTTATTATTGTTTTTTAAATTTTGCTTTGAAGCACCATCTTTACCAAACAAAAACTCCAAAGAAAAGTTATCTAAATTGTCATTATTTTTTACATCTCAGATGTTTTTGTTTGGATATCAAATTTTTTTTTTGTAGTTAATGATTGTATTATTACCTCCAAGCTGGTGCTAGAGTTTATGCCATCCAGGCAAGATATGAATTTGATGCCCCTTATCTCCCTATATAAAATTTTTAAAAAATTTTGAAATGCCATACCAATTATAATTGCCATAATTTTCTTAGTCAATCAATATTCGACTCATGCCTTGTAATGTAAATAAAAATTTAAAAAAAATTAATAATAATTTTAATATATATATATATATCAACATTACATATTAAGCATAAAGTTTTACAGTGCAATGCAAAATATCATATATTACACATACTGTATATCATATTTAAAAAAACGATGTGTATCACTGTCTTTTAAATATAATCATTTTTGTAAACATTAGTGCACATCTAATCTTTACTTTTCATTTGACACTTTCCATTTGACACACAGTTAATACGAATTATGAAAAATTGTCTCAATAATGCTTATACAAGAAGTGAATAATGAGAATCTTCATTAAACTCAGTTGCAATGAAAAGATGTTCACTCTTATGAAAGATGACAGTAGTTGAAATTAAATCCATAGTATCATATTGCAACTAAATATGTAATCCAACACCTTATTTTTTGCTGAGAGATTATTTTTAATTAAAACAAACGTTTTCGATCCATTCATTGGATCATCCTCAGGCTAAATAGAACACTTCATAAATAGAACTACTCGTTTAAATATTCAAAAATACAAATAAACCGATAACATAAAAATAAATAATACTTGTAAATAATACAAATATTCAAAATAAATAGCATAATATCATTACTAAATAATAATATCGTCTGCCTAACTATATAGAGCTTATTATTTCATACTAAATTTCCTGCGCTTTTTTTAAGCTTTTAACCGCAAACTTCCAAGCGGAAGGAAGACCCTCCGCATCTCTTGCGTTAATACATTTTTCTTCAAGTTTGCTTCTATAGATTTCTATCTTTTCAGCCGTTCTTGCCAATGCCGGCGAGTGTATCTGTTTCAGGATTTCGGCTTTATCCCAATGTATCAATGAACCTTCTGCCTGCGCCATCTGGGCCAAAACTGTCGCATTAGAACCTTTTCTGATATCATATTTGTGTTCTTTGATCCTTAAACCTAGGTTCCTAGTTGTAACCCCTACATATTCTTTCTTAATTCCTAAAAGCTGGTTCTCGTAGGGAATCTTGTACACACCCGCCTTAT